TTACCTGTGCCTTTTATATCGGCCAATACGTACTGTATAAGCTATCACGTATACAAGTACAGTGGTGTACACAGCACCAAACCTGCTTTCTTGCGTATTCTATATAGTATGTTTGGATGCGAACAGTTGAAGACAACAGATTGTAAAATCTTGAGGACGCCTTCATCCAGCACTGTATCAATGAAAGGCCGGTGACAATTTCTAACAATACTTCACATGGACAGTCCTCTCAGTATTGTTATTAGTAGTTAATACTATATTAGCAGGTATTAGCGTGAACAGATTTGTAATAGGGTCTAGTAGTTATTTTAAACTCCTGGCCATTTTGTGAATACGTATTTTTACAGTCTCTGTGAATGTATTACATATGTTACTTTATTAGCATTGCAAATCAGGATAATTACATTAAATGCTTCTCTGGCTACGCGTGCGTCTGTCAAATAGTGGTAAACAATAACAAATAGCACCCCGCCCCCTTTGCAAACTCTGCCACTTGAGCTCCGCCCTACAAGGATGTCCTGCGGGCATTGCTGAATTTGACAAACGTGTATCTTATCCAATGATGTAGAGGAGATACCCTAGCAACTCAGCAGAAGAACGAATTAGAGAGTACATGGGCAGGACTACAGACAGGCTAGTGAAGTATACTAGTGGTGGATCCAGACAGAAGCAACGCATGAACCAAGAGCAGTGTCGTTTGCAATCCGAGAAAAGATGTTTTTCGAAATGACATTGTTATACCCTTTCGCTCGCGATAACAGAGAACTCGGTCATGGTGAAGTTTTAAATTCTCAGGTAACTTGCGATGCAGTTATTAAAGCATAGGACTGTGAGACAACGGACATTGACTTTTGCTGGCTAAGGTTTCAGCTGACATAATTAAAATATAATTGCAAATACAGTTAATCATTGACGGTCTGGATGTTCTCGTAATAAGGACTTTGCATATTTTATGTGTTCGACTGAGTTATCACCGAGTTTAATTTATTGCATTAAATTTGACGTTGATGCTGTTTTCCCAATTTTTCTAAATGGCATTTTAATTTTGGGTGGTATTGCCATACTTCTACTGCTAGGGTGATTAAACGGACTATATCAGCGTCACTGTGAATGAGAGCTAAGCTACTCCAGAAGGAGACGTCGGAATTGCCTTGTTTTCAATAAGTAGCATGAAGTATTTTCTAGGTGTAATGCGGTGAAGGAGGTCTTTTGTTTCGGAGAAAAAAATTAATAAGGTGTGAGAAAGTGGTATTCGTTAGGGATCTGGAAAAAAAAGTTTCTGGAACAATGACACTGACGCGCGTGTGAAAACTTGTTCAGTGACATCTTTGCCACACAACGTCCGTGGGGAAAAATTCACAGCGAAGCGAAGTGAACCAGCAGGTTGCGTTTGTTCCATTATGGGACATTGGAGGTGATATGCCAGGAGGATGACCAACAAGGGTAGTCCCGCAAGGGCTTACGACTTTCTGCTCAAGTTTCTGCTGGTCGGAGACAGCGACGTCGGAAAAGGAGAAATCTTGGCGAGTTTACAGGACGGAGCCAGCGAGTCTCCTTATGGATACAACATGGGTAAGTGTGACTGAACTTGGAAATCAAGGGCTCCGGGGCTTAATGTAATCTTTTTGGGTTATATTCACTTTCTTAAATAAAATATTATGCCGAAATTATTGTATGATGTTTTTTTTTTAAATTGAATCAGCGCACATTACGGAATGAAAGTACAGTGAACACAACAAAATCTTGAAGTTAGGCTGTACGCCGACGCGTAGTTTGTTGCTGGTTACATTGTGACACTTTCTGTAGGTTGTGATGTTTCGAATGCAAAAATTGTAGGTGATTGAACAGACGTAAACAGCTTGAAAGCGCCTAAAGTATTTGCCTGGTACATTTTTTGTATTTCAGCCCCCCTACCGATAACGCACACGTACTGTACATTGATGTATGTCATGGATTACAGGTGTGGCAGCCGAGTTATAAAATAATACTCATTTTACCTTAAACAACATTTTTTATAGAGTAATCATGCAGACATCACCAGAAAATATCGAAAGAGTGAACAGTATTTTAGGATGGAAAATACTTCGGCGTGCATAACAGTAAGACTTCAGAAGAGCTGTAGGACTATTTACAGACTCAAGAGTTTGTGTCGGATACGGACAAAGAATTCAGACAACAAAAGCTGAGTCACCCGTAATTTTCAAGCCTGTTTGTGACACAAACAATATACCTGCACCTCGTGGACACAGGGCACAAAATAGGAAATATATGGTTGCAGAAGGTTTCTCAAATACAGTGGACCAAGGTTATGTAAAGCTTTGTATGTTTAAAAAAATGTAAGATCTTTAAAGCTGCTCTGTAACCAGTAAAGGGATTGCAACAGAGTAGTGAATTGAGATCCTGATTTAAATTTTGTCAGGACTTGAGCAGCTTTTTTAAGCACAATTTATTTAGCTCATTAAGTAAATTTGAGTGGGTCAGCATAGATATGATGTACAATGCTATGTTTCTGAAGTATTTGACCTCAGAGCAACATGGGTGGTAAACAAGAGAGGACCTAATATAGACTCTGGGACACACCAGTACCAAGAGCTTTTGTTCCAAAAGTACAATGACTAAGTGATACAAATTGTGTTGTATTGTGCAAATAAGATTTAGATGGAGAGAGAACAGTCTCAGTATTGCAAATTCAATTTTTTAACACATTTAAGATAGATGTTGTGATCAACAGTTTGAAAGGAATCACAAGTATTTATGATTTATGAAAGATTTGTTGGAGTATGCTGCTGGTAACCAGATTATGATGAAAAGTGTGCATTTTTGGCATTCCATACAGCACAACTGTACAGTATATGATTAGTGATGTTATTTCTTTGCATATGATATGCTTCACACTTAAACTTTCTCCTAGAGAAGCGAGATTAGATAGAGCACAGCAGGCAAATGTATAACATTCATCACAGAGGGACATGGGTAGTTCTATGTGGAACTTTATGTGGAACTAGCACTATTTTATTGAAATATCAGGGCATTACATTGACATTGATGTTTTTCACAACAAAGTATGAACATTTGGTCAGCCTAATGCTAGGAAGTGAGATTACCAACTTCTAAATGTAGAATAAATTGCCCATCACTCTACTATGATACCTCCACCAAAATAAAGTCTTCCATTTACACATTCCTTTGTGATCCTTCTTGTGCTACTAACCAATACTTGTGCTCAAGTGTTGTCAAATGATGTCACTGGAAAACGTAAAAAACCTCAACCCTTTGCGAGTATCCAGGACTTTGTCATCAATAAATCAAACTGCAGTCATGCACATCAGCTCACTTGCAGCATTTCTGGCTGCAAATTTTCCAAAACACATGACTATGATCTTTTCCTAAGCCCTAATATTGTTGCAGTGTGATTAAAGCTGGTCTGCCTTTGAGCAAGTCCAGCAGATTCAGTCGCAATTTTAAAAATGCCTCCTTGCTCATATTGCCAAATAAGTATATGGAACCCTTTCTGGTAAAAGACTGTCAACCTTTGACTCTGTGTCAACCAAAGTATTCTTGCCAGGATAAAAGAGAGAAGCTGGATAGGCCTATACTTAGTACGCTATGTGGTGTGCAATGGTCCCTTTGAAGTCAGAAATCTTATATTTGGATGAATAGTATTAATTAAATAGTAGAAATAGTATTTCAATATTTCTTTAATTTTTTATTATAATGTGCCAGAAATGAATGTTCTTAGGAAGATTGTCTTGTCTGCTTTCTTTTTGACCTGTGTGGTCAATGGATGGATAGATGTTTATTTTGAAGAAGTCCACTGGATTGACAATAGCTTGGATTATCAATACTTGTATAAGGTTCCCTTATAGCCTTCTCTTTTTCCTTCTCTTCTCTTTTTTTCTTTTCCAGACCTAAAGGTCCAGTTCCATCAGCCTGTTAGATTAGGGCATTCCCTTTAGTCTCAGAATGTATCTGGTTGCTCTTTTCTTAACGGATACCGGAATTACAATGCCTCTTCTGTAATGAAGTGACGACAGTTGTCCACAATATGTTAAATGAGGCCTTACTAGTGTATTACACAATTTTAACATAACATCCCTTGCTTTAAGTTCTGCACTTCTTGCTATATATCCACTACTTTATTTGCCTTTTTATTGCTTCTGTTTGTTCTTTAATAGATGTAAGTCATGTGTGAACATAAACAGCTACAGTACATCTTTTTCGTTGGTAGCTTCTTTTAGCTCAGTGTTTAATAATTTGTATTTATAGTTTGTTTTTAGTACTTGCATGCAAAACAAACTTGTTTACCTGTTATCAGTTAAGCTAATAACATTAAACTTAATCTACCTGATCTGACTCCCCCACAACTCTGAATTGGATAAAGCAGTTAGAAAATGGATGGATGGAAAATCCCTCTAAAAAGCATACCACTGAGATTCTTTCAATTCAGAACAGTCCGAATTTCTAATCTAGAAAGAAGACTTTAGCTGTTATTTTCTGGAGAAGAAGTAGCTTCAATGATTGACATTTCACATTGTCTTACACTGAGGCCGTCCATTGATGCTTATGCAGTGGAGTCATGACATTGACTGAGGTAGTTCAGAAATGAGCAGAAAACTGTGCCAAAATGGAATTGTTGTGCACTCTAGCATTACAACAGATGTGGCTGCAAGAATTGTCTTTATCATGGCACTTGCCGAATAATGTTAGTTTCATTTAACACTTTAAAGCAAGTTTCCTTTAGCCCTGCTTTCTTCTCCAGGAGTTTTTTAGCAATACCATGTGGGGGCATCTGGGAACACGCGCACATTTCTGGCTATCGTCTTTATGCACTGGTTGGGCTATTTACTAATACAATCTCTGTGTGATGCATTGTGTTGCTTGTGAAACAAATAGGCCTGTAAACAGTTTGGAGGTCTTGTGTACTTTTGTATCATATCGTACACTGTTTATAGAGGCTGAAACCATTTTTTTTCCTCTGGGAACCTGTGAGCAGTCTTTTGAAAATGTTTTTTCTGTGTTTTAGCTCACATGGGGGGAAAAAAACAAGAAGAAGAAATTGGAAAGTGTGCAACACGTATAGCAAATATTTTCACCTGAGAAATTACATAAAAAAGCACACAAAAGCATGCATACTGCTCCTTTTTTAAATGACAGGGTTTTGGAGGAGCGAAGTATTGGAATGGCAGAAGTCCCTTGAGTAGTCACCATGAATTTTAGTGCAAACTCTTGCATTTCAGAAAAAAAACGCCTGAACTCTACAATCTCCGCAGTTTCAATTGGTGTCACACATTACTAATTACTCAGTTTAACTAATTAGTTGGCTGAGAAGTCAAATGACTTAGGTCTTAATAATTTTAATAAGTGAAAAGTAATTGCAAAGCCTGTAGGACTTGGCTGTTAACTAAGCTGAGGGTGTTGTAGCCTTGATTATTGTGTAAAACAAAGTTTAAAAACTATATGGTTTCTCTAGGTATATGTCAAAGGTGTATAGGTGAATTTAATTTAACGTACAGAGAGCATTGAATGCATTCTTTATGTTGAATGTGTGATGGCTGAACTAAAAGTAGACACAAAAGCATTCCATTTAAAGAAGATGAGAAGCAGGGTGAGACCGCGGCTCAACATCCTTCAGAGAATAAAGTTAGTAGCTTCAAACATTTTAAACAGTCTTTAGATGAGCAGTCTCATTACAACAGTCTTAAAATTGAGAATGATTATGTTGGATTATTAAAAGAACCATATTATTATTTTATTTTTTATATTTATTTTTAAAATATTACTGGTTCTTTAAGAGTTTCTATTTCAGACACCACAGTGCATGATTTTGCTTAGATGCCAGGAACTGTAAATTTGGAAAGGATGTATTTCTGAAACCCACAGAAGGCTTCCATGTTCAGCACTTGAGGGATAAAGACTTACTCAATATTGTAACAGATCCAAAACGGAGTGAAATTGTAAACATGTTGTTTCTGTGTTGGAAAAAGTGTGCCAAGTTCCCAAAGCTAAAATCTGCTTTTAAGCAGGGGGCATCCTGCTCAGAAGCTCCATTAAAAGGATTTTCAATTTTGTACGTTTTTCTGATTTTTGTTTTGCAGTTGTAATCTGTTTTCTTTTATAAATCCTGCATCATTCATAATGCCTTTCTATGAATTGCTTCTTTTCTTTAATTAAAGCTGTGGAGTATGGTGCAACTGGCTCTTAAATCTTTCATTCTTGAGACCATAGTTTATTATAAAAAACAAACATAAAAACGATTTTGTTCAAGCCTGAAATTGGTTAAAGCCAAGGAGTGTTCCAGAAGATCAGTATTTCTGAAGAAGAGTGTGAGTTGTTTATAATGACTTATGCACTCTAATATGTTTTATAAGGTTCATAGTTAAAAAAACAGTGCTTATTATTCTGCTAAAGCATGATTGAGTAGGCTATTGAAACTTAAAAAATATTGATCCAGGGATAATTTAGTTGGCATTGTTTTCATGAAAAAAGAATAGGTATTAAAAGAGCTTGTTTGTAAATGGGCAAAAGTAGCAAGAGTATTTAGGGTATGTATATGTTTCATGGTGCAGTATTTT